TCATAAACAATTTTATAAAGCTATTGGAAAACAAATACCTTGGTCATATCTTGCAGTAAAGTTTGCATCCTTCTTCAGTAATTTCTTTTAAAATGGTACTAAATAGTTCACAATCATTACCTTCTGTTTGCAAGCTGTGCAGAATTCTAAATTTCATGCAAAATTCTACTTGTGGTAATTTTCATAATAGTTCATTCTTTAAAAATTATTGCAAAATTAATTATTAGTTTCTTCAAGCACTAATTGAACTGTTGACATCTAGCATGGTAGGCATTCAAATTTTTCAATAAATAATTTAAGTGATAGGAGCAGTTCTGAAATGGTTCTTCACTCTAAGAGGTGACAATTATTAGCTGTCAAAATTTCAAGGGTGGTCAATAAGCAATATGCGCACCGAACATAATTGTAACTGATTGGCTATTGTTGAAACAGTTTGGTTACACGATTCGAATATATATATATATTCAGCATAGATAAAAATCCTATCATTGGATAGATTGGTCACACACATTTAATAGAGACGATCGACAATTTATATGTGAAGAGTATTGTAAAATCGAAAAAGTGTCACTTAGAAAAGTGGCGCGCCCCATATTAAATAACACCACCTCAAACTTTGCACAAATGTTATATTACTATTGTTTATTTCTGATCCATTAATAACTTTTCCTGATCCACACTGAGTTTTGACTTTTATTAGTAGTGCCGTTTGCTCTAAATTCTTGATATATATATCATTAACTTGACCATCATATTTTCTCCCTCCAAATTCATAAGGTCCTTGTACATGAGTATTATATTTATCAATATGATTACCATGTTTATACACATAATCAATTGCTTCACTTTGTGTACCCCTTCATTTTTCAACATGCATTTGACTTTTAAAAAAAGTTCTTTGAACATAATGGGTCAATTCAAGATAACCTTGAATATGTTCAGTATTATTTTCATTTCCTCATTCATACAAGAATATAACATATTTAAATTTATTCATTTGTGAAAATTTATTAATTATTACATTATGATCATCATTGTAAAAAGAATGATTTTTATTAATAGTAAAAACCCAATTATATGATTGATCTTTTTTATTATTTTTTTTTTATTTTCTTTTGGCATTTTTTTTTATATTTTTCAATTTAATATTTTATTATTTTATTTAAATTTTGATTTTTTTTATAATAAAATTTCACGATTTATATAACATTATAAAACAATATAAAAAATCTTGCCCCCAACAGAAAAACAATATTTTATTTTATGTTTTAATTTTTTTGCTAATCATTATGGATTTATTTTTAATTTACTATAAAATGTGCATTGAAGATCATTATGGATTTTTTTTGATATTCAATTTTTTTAACATAAAAGTAAATTTCCATAATGATTGATGAGAAATCTAATTATAAATCCATAATGATCGACTGCAATTTTTTTGATAAATTAATTAATGAGGTGTGCATTTCACATATTTTTCATAGTAAAATTAAAATAACAGATCAAAGATCTGTTTTCCCCAAGGGTTTCACAAATTATGAATCTTTTTTTTCAAATTTTATTTGGTTCTTTTTTTTTTTTTGATAAATAATGTTTAATATTAGAAATAATAAATATTAGAAAAAAAATTTTTCTTCTTGATTAAATTAAAGGCAAGTTATTTTAAAGAAAGTTTTTTATTTTTTTTAATTAAAATTTACTGCTGTAAGAGGGTTAAGAATTAGAATCAGGTCTAACTACCATTATATTCGATCCTTTTTGGCCTGATACTGTGAGATAGTAAAATAAGGACCGATAGAGAGGTCCCGCATTGCCGATCCAACCAAACCGAATTACTGCGGAAGTCACGTGAAAATGCCATTATTTCTATTTTTATTTTAATATTATATTTTGTGAAATTACTGCGCCACATATTGCGCAGTATCACACGTACAATTACTCATATTCATATTTCTATGTTTATATTTCAAGAACTTATTCAGCTGATGTAAATATTTGCTTTTAATTATTAATTATTATTTGTAATGCTCAGTTGACCCAAATATTTATTTTATATTAATAAGCATAGTTTATTGGACAAACTAGAGTAAAAGTCATGTTATTTGTAATACCCCAAGAGGTATAAAAAGACTTGGTTTTAGACCAAGTGAGAAAAATCATGTTCATATAATCTTCTAATTATTGATCTAATAATTAATACTTCCAAAACATTGTAATAATATTATTATCGCTAATAAAAACACCTAACATACTTTACTTGAAAATTAATAATACCTAAATAATTAATACACTACAAAGGGTGAACCTTTGCTGTCCATAGCAGGTAACCAACATTTTAATTATTAAGAGATATCTCAAGGGGACGCCTTTGGGATATAATACATATATAGAATCTAGGGAACCTTTTATCCAAAGGGATAAAAGTCAGATTTTATTAAGTTTGACCATAAGTCAGCAAGTAGGCTGTGTGTCATATATATAAATATTGGAAATTGACCATAAGTCAGCGAGTAGGCTGTGTGTCAAACAATAGAATCAACTGTAAGTCAGCAAGGAGGCTGTGTGTTGAGCTACAAATATCCTATTAAATAGGAAACTCGGATTGCATGCTCACAATACCTACCTTGTTCCTGCCAAGTGTGTGCCACTTGGGTTAGATGCTTTTTGATGACAAAGAATTTTTTTAATCGAAAATTCTTTGTGATGACAAAAGGTCTTGCTGTTATGTTGGGAGACACCATTACAGTAGATTTACTTTCTATATCTGAGAATAGTGCTATTACTGCTATGATGAAGATAAAATAAAATAACATATTGCTTAGACTTTGGTTCTAATTTTTTTTATTTTATGAAAATAATTATAGATACCATGTTGAAGAAGATTGTATGTTCAAAATTTACATATCAACACTTCTCTAACTTGACGCCTTCAACATCTAATCCGAAACATCAATTACTATGAATCTCTCACTGATCACCAAAATAAATGTTGTGGATTTATATCCTATCATATCAAACACATACATATATTAATCGATTCATTTCTTATTAATCCTACACCTTCTTTATTCAATCAACTTCAAGATCAATGGATTATATACCAACATGGAATTCGATCTATTTTAAGATATTTTTAATAAACAAATTTATTTTTTTATTTTCTTTAAGATTTTTTCTTTTATTAAAAATAAATGATATAGAATTAATAATTAAAAAAATAAAGAATAAATGATTTTGTAAATATAAATTAAGATCTCATAGTGTTGGAAATAATGATGAGTAAGGTTTCTGGTCGAAATTGCTTCTATTAGTAGCCGAAATTGCCCAAATACTTTGGGCAAAAATTATTTTTTTATAAGCCCAAACTACTTTTTGTTATTAGCTGAAATTGGGTGAAATTATTTTAAAGTTGTTTAAATTAAAACAAGTTGATTCATATAGTTTTTTAATGTTGATGCTTATAGAGAATGTTGAGAAGCCCAAATTGCCCAAACTAGTTAAATCTTATACAACATATAATAAATCTCGTGATGAACTGGAACTAAAAGTATACTTGTGTCACCACACTAAGAGATACCATTATAGCATTAACCGCTAAACGTGTTTTTACACGTGCGTGCTGTCATCGAATAATTTGGTTTATTAGAGGTGGTCAGTCGGACGTTTATCTGAGAAGTGGGATTCATATTTGGAATTCCCGAATAAAAATGATCTTTGTTTTTTCTGAACTTTCTGCTAATTTTGAGAACATTTATTACATGGTATTATTTAAAAGGTATGCATAACTTTGTGTTTATCATTATTTTATCGTATAAGAATTAAAGGAACGTTTAGAAACACGTCTAATATTGAACATCACGCTTCCAATTAAAGAATGTGCTCCATTCGAGTACATACAAAAGTCAGCTTAAATTCAAAGTAAGATTTTATTAACATACAGGGTAATAAGAATAAAAAAAACGCGCACACACGTAACACATGCAATAATGAGAAAAGCGAATTAATATTTGAAAAGATCAACAAACTTCAAGCATTTTGTAGATAACCATCGATTACTGTCATTTTAATTACCACGTTCAATAGTCGGTACTTGACTGTTTTATTGTCACAGAAAGGAAGCGACTTGTCGAGATATGCAGCAGCTATTGTCGTTGTATCGCTAAATCAGCAGTTGTCGTTACAACAGTACCCGAAGCTTTTGATGAGTATCTGCTATTAAATAACATCACACAACTAATTCTTAATGTTTTATCATTGAATGAAGCTGCAATTGATGTTCTAGTGTTGTCGATTTAGTAGGATCAGGGATGTTAATCGACCTAAAGATCCAGTGAGTCAACGGCTCGCCTTTGGACCGGTTCCATCTTTCCATAATATAGGTCTGCAGTCCGAAATGACTGGTCTGGTCCGATTCAGCTTGCCCTATAAAAATTTTAATGGAAAAACGGTACATAAAAAATAACAAAGTTGTATGATGTTGTATGATATACATGAAAGTTCAAATATTAAGCTTTAGAAGGTGGCGCAACATTGAACTAATCAGCGCGTGATGTCTGGGAAATATAAAAAATATTGATCGCAAAAAGCAATCTCCTTATTGCAGAAGTTAAATCGACCGAACATTCTAATTGCTTTTTTTTTTTTTTTTTGAAAAATCTCTTTTTTCTCGCGTAAAAGTAGTGGGTTCCATCAAATCTGATTTGATATATAAATTTAACAAATACGTGAATAAGGAACTTGATGACTTGCAATTGGTGCAAGCAGCCCAAATTGTTTTTGCTGATGCTAAACTACGAATATTCTTGGGTCGCGTGCATGATTCAATAAAGAAAATTAGCCAACGAAAAGGAGAAAATTGTAATTAGATTGAAGTAATCCAATACTCTGCTGGATGAATACAATGAGATCTTCAAGTAATAACGGCTAACTACAATATACCATCATCCACTACGAGATTTATCTTCAAAGCTGGACCGGATTTACCTTTTTCGGGTCGATGACATACTGGAATATCTGCCAACTCCATGTCCGCTTTTTCCACTTTGATGTTTTTCTTTACATTTTCACCTGTATCGAGCAAAACAACCTATGAAACCAAGAGTAAATGTGACAACATTAAAGGTGGGGTTTTTTTGTAAAATTTTCATCTGTAAAGAAATACAAGAAATAAAATCGGATATTAAAGAAGAAATTGACGAATGAATGAATAAATGTCTTATTTTTTGTCGAAATTTTACATGTTGTAGTTTGCAATTATCATATTAATTTTTATTTGTAAGTTTTTTTTTATATTACTATTTAATTATTCTATATAACTACAAAAAAAAATTTATATGCACTCTTTTTAATTAATATGGGGAAAAAAGATATAAAAAAATCAAAATAATAAAGTGTTAATATGTTTAATGAAATTATTGTTAATAATAAAATAGTAGTAATAATGGTTAAAAGGTAAAAAATATATATAAAATACGAATTTATAGAAAAATCAAAAGATATTCAAGTATTTTAAATATTAATGATAATTTTTATAATGTATGTAAATTAAGAATAATTAATTATTGTGATAATAATAATATATAATGATGGTATATAAAAATAATATTATAATAATAATAATTATATAATAAAGTTGAATATAATATCCAAATTCAAAAAAAATTTATAAAATTTTTTTTATTTGACTAATAAACTCCTAAAAAAAATTTATTTATTTTTGTTTGTTTTTATAAATAAATGATATAAATAAATGCTTTGTATGTAGATGTGTATGTATGCCTATTTTATTAAGCATCTCCGTTCTCTTTTGTTACTTTAGATGTAATAGCAGTTCCCGATGATTCAGTTGATTTAATTGGTTTTGTGACTGAAGAAGTTGGTAATGTTTCTGTTGACCCTGTCGTTGTCTCTGTCTCCGTCCCTGGTTCTGATTTTTCATTCTCGTTCTCATTTTCCTTCTCTTTCAAAATTGCCGCCTCTAGTGCTGCCTTTTCTTTTTCCTCTTGTTCTCTTAGTTTTCTACGCTCCTCAACTTTTCGAAGTGCTTCAACGGTATCTATTGGTTTGGCTTCACCAAATGGATTTGATTTTGGTCTGGTAGTTGGAGGGCTTGATGATAAATTTGGAGATTTTGGATCGGACATTGTTGGCGAAGTAGCAATATACTGTGTCGATGATGTTGTTGCTGTTGTTGTTGTTGTTGTTGTTGTTGACGATACTGTTGTTGTACTTCTTGGTTTCAATTCCAATTTTTTGCGTACTAGAGGTGGATTGGGAGTGGTAGAATGATTGCTTTTATGGTGATCATCATCATTATCATTATGATTATTTTGAGTAGGTGTTTTGTGGGGTGAAATAATGGCAGAGGGAGTAGTAGGAGTTATTGGAGTAGTAGGAGAACGTATATGGTGAATTGAAGAATCAGAACTTTCACGTCGATTATAATTTGGTGACCTTGTATCATTTCTTTTCACATGAGGATCTCTATGACCACCCTCCGATCTTCTATCACGATAGCCACCCGACCTGATATTACTATTACTGCCACCACTAAAAGCACCACCTTTCCATTCTGTATCAGGCTTACGTTCCGGTCTGTCACCACCACCAACATTTCCGAAACCTCCACGATCTCCACGATCGCCTCTATCACTGTTTCTATCACCTCTATCACTTCCTCTATCGCCTCTATCACTTCCTCTATCGCCTCTATCACTTCCTCTATCGCCTCTATCACCACCTCTATCGCCTCTATCACCACCTCTATCACCACCACTACCACCACGATGTCCATAATGAGTATTACCCCTATCACGGAATCCTCCACGATCATTGCCCCATCTATTATCTTCTTTATAACCATATCTATCGGCGGAATTAAATCTTTCGTTTCTTGGAGATGACGATGGCGTTTCTCTTGGAGATGATCGTCGCCATTCGCCAGCCGTACGATCTTCACGAGCTAATGATTTTGTTAATAAATTTAATTAATAAATCATGTTATATAATATGCAATTACTACTACGTTACAAATATGTTATAATAAATGTATCTTGATTGTTATCATTATCATCATTATTAATGATTACTTACGTTCTGCTACACTAACTCTAATAGGTCGGTTGCTAAGATTCTAGATATATATACACATGATTAATTATATCGTAAAAAAGATAATTGTAATAATAATATAATAATAATAATAATGATAATAATAATAATAAGAAATAATGATTTTACGATAAGATATTCATAACTATATATTGATATATGTGTGTATGTATGATGTATGCATGTACATATATGTATTAGCAACATACCTCTCCAGTCATATCCAAAGCTTTACTTAAAGACTCTAAATCTTTAAATTCCACATAACCAAAACCTTTAGGTTTTTCATCTTTATCACGAAGGATTCGAATGGTAGCTATCTTTAATTATTTAAAAAATTTTTTTGTTGAAAATCAAAAATAATTGTTATGAATATAAATCAATGCACCAAAATATACACATTTATACACGAATAAATATAATATCATTACATTAGTGTCAACGAAAAATTTTGATACATCGGTTTCAGTTAAATCATAAGGTAAATTTCCAAGGTGAGCGGTATATGGAGGAGATGTAGGAAGAGGTTGAGGAGGTCGATCAGAACGACCTGGAAATCGGGGTTCACGCGGTGAGTCATATCGTGAATCTTTTATAAATTTAATTTTAATCGGTAAAAAGAAGAGGGAAAATTAGAATAAAAATGATAGATAAATAAGCATACACATGTATGTATGTATGTAACGATTATATACATAAATGATTATATATATATACAAAATAAATTAATATGATTTTCTACCTCTTGAACCTCTATGATTTTGATAATTTCTGTTCCTATCACCGAAACCACCTCGACGATGAGATTCATCATGATCTCCAGAATCTAACAAATAAATGAACCAATTGAAATTTAAACATATACTCATCCACACATATATCTACTAAAAACAGCACACAAATATACATGCGTGTGTGCGTGCATGTGGCGAACGAATAATACCTTTAAAAGCAGCAGCAGCTAGATAAAGCAAATACTAATTTTGTTTAGATGTGCGAGAACATATTGTAAAATAAATCAACACACGTAGTATATGAGAAACTCACGAGCAGATGGCAAATCTTCCATTTCATCAGCCCAAGATCCTGTTGCTATATTTAATCAAAGAGAAAGGTAATACATACATGAGTATAAATCTTGCATGGAAAACCATAATAGTAAATTAATAATAAATTATTTTGGCATACATTGATCAGCCAAGAAATCCGTTAAGGACATTTTAGTGCCTTTCTTTTTAGAACCTTGAGTAAGTTTTTTTAGAAAAAAAAATATCAATATCATTACAAGTCAAAAAAAATTTTTTTTTTAAAAAAAGTTGGTGAAATGAAGGCGATCAAGATTGTTATAGTTGTTATAATTACATACCCATTTTTTTGTTCAATCTAAATTAATCTTAATAAAACTTGTGAAATAAAAAATCTCTCACAAATGATAATATTCTGTAAGAAAAAAAAGATGAAAAATAAATATGTAAATATAAAAAAAAAGTTTTTTTTTTTTAATTTATAGGGAGGACTACAGTCCATTCTAGTGGCTAAGCAAATTATCTAATTGGTTAAATCATAATTTAGATTTTTTTGTTTGTATATATATGTGCACATGGCATACTTTGTATCTTAATGCAGTAATGCAAATAGATGCTAATCATGCTAATCACAATATATACACTTCTTCCTCATAACTATTGCTACTGGTAATTCCATGTCAAAATTCAAAACAAAAACAGCAACAACAACAACTACTTACCGGAGGCTTCTTTAAAATCACACAATGTGGTGTCGATCTTTCATTTTTATACTTGTGGCAAATTTAAACAATGAGCTAGATGAGGAAAATATTATGATGAAAATAATGCTTGGATTGAACAATAAAATCAAATCTGTAACCATATAGTACTTCTCTAAAACAAATATTCATATACTACACCATCAAAGTCCAAAATCCTGTAGCTAAATATATAGGCACGGCCAAACCAACATCTGATTGACGTTTCATCATCTTTAATAACGTCCACCTACAACAACAACAATTATAACTGCACTCATTCATCCTTGTTGTAATTTGGAAAAGAAAGAGAATATAGGAAATCATCATTCAGCTGCAACTGCAACTTCAACTGCAGGGTTTAAAATTGGCTTTTCAAAATTTACAAAATATTGATTTTTATTTTTTTTATTTAAAAATTTTTTCTTTCTTTCCTTTGAATAGGCGATTGTGCCCAGGACCCTTAAATTTTATTACACTAATATACTCTCAATAATAGAATTTTTAATTTCTCGGAGTTTCAACAGTCTTCATTCAAACCTAATTAGAGAGATTCGTCATATATATACATATATATATATATATATATATATATATATAGAAATAGGTGAATGTTCGCTCGACAATAACGTGACATTTCCATTTTTGGAAATTAAACTTTTATAAAAATTTATGCAGCTAAGCAAGCGTTTCATATTTTTTTTTGCTAATTTCTTATTCAAAACGAAAAAAAAGATAGACATTGATTCTATCATTACCTCGAAGAATTACAGAATATTTTCATCTAGAAAGGCTCCGACGCTAAGGGCATTGAAAAGACTGCAGTAGATACAATTCAAGTCAAACCAATTGATGATGCCCTGAGCTGTGTCTACAGTTTGATATTTTTTATTTATTTTAAATATTCTTTACCGAATTTTTATTTATTTATTATTGCTAAAACAATAGAAAAGTATATCCTACCTGGAAAAACAAACCATCGTAAAATATGTAAAGAATGTCCATCCACCGTCTGATTGGTTTGCATTGGCAAATATGTTTTGAATTTTATTTATTTTAATTAATCAAAATATTTGACGTATTGCAAGGGGAAAGGCTTTCATCCCCAGTCTGATTACATTGTGCTCTCCTAAATGATGTCAATTCTATGGTAGTTTTATTATTAGCGTAGGAAATTAGTTGGATCGGTACTACGCCTCGTTATCCTTTTTTGTTTAGAAGTGATAATCATCCGCAGTTTTTTTTTTTGAAATTCTTTTTTTGTTAAGGGTTAATAATAAATTTTATTTATTTGGAAAACAAAAAGTAAAACTTATTAATGAACTAACCATTGAGGAATAAAATAATTATATAGTGCGAATATTATTATATGAACGATTAATTTAATTAAAATTGTTGGTTATGGATGTATATTGGAAAATTCAGAACCAAGAGGATTCGAACTCTTTTATAAGAAAATATCAATTAGTAATCATCAGGTCTGTAATTTACATTTTACAGAGACCACCTCTTGCCTTTAACATCAAAATAACAGTCAACTGTTCTTTACCATCCAATTAATCAATAATAATAAATGTTAACTATCAGATGATATGTTGCGACCTACTTGCGTTAGACTGTTACCTGCTTATGACAAGTTTTCGTCATCAGGCCACATGCGAACAATCATATATTAGGCTACAACCAAATGGGGAGTGTTTTACGTTTCTATCGTCACTAGACACAAAGTGCTGTTTGTGAGACTGGATGCAAAGCATCCTCGCTTGTCAATGTATTATGATGGAATTCTTCATAAAATGGACTATTTCATAATTTACTTTATAATCAAATTATGAAATTGATCGAGTAGACTAATAAATTAGTACAAAAATATATAACCTGCTGTATCGAAAACCAATTTGTGAAAAAAATACCATATTTTCTGACGATCAGTCAGTTTTTGATTGCAAGGATGTGAGGCATGTTGGCAATCTGTATTTTGGCCTTGTACTTTGCATTCGAATGCCAAAGTTGAGTTACATAGTGTCGAAATAGTACACGTGATCTGGCTTTTGCGTGATGCATTTGAATACTGATCGAGGATGAGGCACGTAATTTTTCTTTACTTCTTTCTTATATTATCCTACCTTGGTGTATTACCAAAAGTATGTTATTACTATGTTTTGCGACTCTGGAACACTTTCTCATATAGTTGTTGCTTTAGGATACTACCATTAAACTACCAAAAAATCGGATCTTACCTTTGGCTACTACCATCTTTTGATGCCAAATACTACCAAAAAAATACTTTGGTTACTACTAAAGAAACACTTGCCTCACTTTCCTAAAATTTTAATGATGGTCTGTCTCTCAAATGATATGACTTCAGACACCAATGTAAGTAATCTCAGACCCAGGCTAAAATTTCGTGATGCAAAATCCCCCTTTATACATTCCTTTCTTCACAAGATTAATATAATATATTGTATCTCCTTCTGATTAATTTATATAGTAGCATACATCTTTCTACTTCCACTTGCTCATTGAAAATTTCGAATCACTTTTCATATTATCCTCCAATATTGATTTTGCAATTCATGTTTCCCTTCCATATACCAAGTATGGTTAATTCGTAAAGATTCTCTAACATTAATGGAAGTTTTTGAATGGTTTCTGCAATTGCATCCGGAAGTGTGAGCGGTTATGTTTATGATAATAGAATTGTGTAGATTTGGTACGTAGTTACTTTAAGTAGCCCTGCTAAAAATTTTATTATATAAAAACATGTCCAAGTAATATTATTTTTTTTCTTACATCTCTTATATGCCTCACAACCACAAGCCATATCACTACAATTATCAAAAAAGCAAGGATTGGATACATAAACATCACCCCAACAGGTAATATTCCGACCATTTCTGTTTTAGTCACATGACTTTGATCGTTTTCAATGAAATTGGTTTTAGAGGTGGCTTCTTCTGAAGAATCTTTAGTCTCTATGATTTGTGAGATATCAGCATGACTATCTTCACTGATAGAAGACTTCATATTAGTTGATCTTGAAGAATTGGAAATTTGAGGCTTTGTCTCATCATTAGCCTTATTTATGGTATCACTGGATTAAGGTGTATCAATTTTTTCTGTCTGGTCCATATTTCTTTTGCGTGAAAATTTACAAAGATCTTTTACAGGTTTACTAACAGTAGGGATATTCCGTCCCACTCCCATAGTTCGTGGTCAGATTATTGGTAACAGTTTCTGTATTATATGTTTTGGTTAAGTTATCTCTGGGTTTGAGCATAGGCATGAGAAGATGGGAAACAGGTATATTTTTTCATGAGTCAATGTAGCCGAGACAAGTTCTTGGGTCAATCCCAATGATATCATTTTTTTCAATTTTATCTGTAAATTGTTGCAATACTCAATAAGAGATTCCTGATTACGACCATCTCGAGATGTAAGGATATCTTTAATCGCTTGGTCTCGTTAATAATCTCCATATTATGAGTATGCTGTTTCAGATTCTCATTATTAACTGTCTTTTTTTAAAATTCCTCACTATAACAATTCTAAAATTTCTTTCTGACCGGTTTTTTTAGCCCTGTCAAATAAATAAGCTAAATGTGATGCAGGACCTGGGTTAGATCATCTCCGTCTAGCATATTTTCAGGAATTTGTTTATCAGATATAGGACTTTTCTCATTAATAAATACAGATAACTCATGTATTAAACCTTGTTCTAATTTTGATTATAGTAAATTTTAGCTTGCTAGCTTCGCTATTTCGGAAGAAATGACACTTTGTGCCTGACAAATAGAGGATATATCTTCTTTGAATTTTGAATCCAGGAATACATCAGTCTTTTTCTCTTATAACGATTTAGATCCTGCGTTAAGATGGGTGAATCTTTGATTTTTGACATATGTCGGAATTTTGCTGAAGATACACAGAGTCTGTGCTATTATCTTCGTCAGAGTAATCCTTGATAGGTGGTAGATGGATGTTTGTGGTGTTGCTGATGGTATCAGAGAAGCTGGAGGCTGTGAGGGATCATTAGTGGTTCGATTTTGCTTTATGATTTGTTTTAGTTTTTATTTTCGATCCTAAAATTAACCATTTCTTCTATAATTTGTTTTAATTTGGTGTTTCAACTCAAGTTTGGTAACTCGCTGTCTCAATAATTCAAGCTCCGATGACATTTTCGATTTTCGATAATAAATTTTTTATAGATTTATTCAAAATAAATTTTATACATTATTTTTTTTTTTTTTATTTAACATTAAGTTAAGTTTGGATGGAAGGTCTGTGTGCATTTCATTATGAAAAACCTTGTCAATCTTGACTAAAGAA